AGATAGATATGGATACACGCCCTAATTGCTTCCTCCCAGGCCTAGTCCAAGCTCCTGCCCTAGAAGGCCTTTACTGTCTGAATTCCCCCGCTCTTCCTTTGTTGCTCCTCCACGATGCTCTCATCAGCTAGCTTGATCATGCAGTTGTTAGCTGTCTAGTTAGTCTTCCTCTCCACGTTGTGTATTATTATGAGGAGAACATATCTTTGTCTTTCCCTATAGGTCCAGAAGGATGCCTTGCACACAGGAACTAAGGAGTAAAGTCTGTTAAATCAAACTTGCAACCACCGTATACAATAATCAGATTTCACAACAGAAGGAATTGCAGTCATGACTATTTTGCCTACTGTTTCTGAATAATGAGGGGAAGACAACAGTTCAAGCTCATGCGAGACAGTTGTTACACTCTGACATAATCAATGATCGCTGGTGATAAGATATCCATCAGTCTGCCACAGATCAAGTTATGTCAGAGGGAAGAGAAATAGCTGGTCCCCAATCATGGATGACGCACAATATAAGCAGAAGGGAAACAGAGAGGGAAAAAGGCCACTGTGGAAATCTGACGGCATGTCACCATGCTACAATCTCCTGTGAGCATATGAAAACTACGACCGCTCATGACCACAGGCACTTGAGATTCAGTTGGTCTTATCATCAACGGAATGAGTTTTTCAATCTTAGCAGTAACTTTTACATGGTTACTTTCAAGAATTCAATATGACTTTTCATAGTGAAACACATTTTACAGATTCACACAGGCGATAAAGATAATTTGTATAATCTAAATATGTATATCTGCAGAGCTTACCCTAAAAGCAGAGTCCCTTCTCATTTCTAATTTTACTTTTAATTTAAAAAAGCAAGCAAAACAAAGACCCAACCTTCCAATCGTGATCATGCTTCCTTTTGTCCAGTGACGACTTTTCCCGCTCCTTGGCTTTCCTGTAAGCTTTCTTTTCTTCAGCCATTAGAAGTCTAGCAATTTCCTAAACAAAACCCAGTCAGTGTTGATTAAAGAGTTGCAGGGAGAAAATTACTGGGGTATTTCTAACGAATACTGGCTAAACCAACTCATTAACTTGAACTCACCTCATCCTGGGCTACCTGAGCTGCTCTCATGTCCACCTGCGTGGCCTGTGGTACAGAAAACACAAAAAAGAATAATTTCCTTGAAATCTACACTGTCCACTTTTTAAAATCTTACATAAAAATAAACCAGTATTTGAAACAAATTGTGATTAACATCCCTCAAGCTGATAATCAGTTAGTATATTTTCAGCCAGAGCAGGGTCTGTTTTTATCAAATTTTACTGCAGGTTCTTAGAGAATTACCAGAACTCAATAATGTAGAGACAAGGAGATGGAATTCTATTGCTAATGTTTTCTCAGTAAATAAAAATAAACACTATGCCCGTTGTTTTGATTTTCCCACCAGTAAAAAAGGTTTCAGTTTCTCAACTGATTGAGGGTTATAATTCCTATTACATAATCTCAAGAATGATTCAGTTCACCAAATACCTACTTATTCACCTGAACTATTGCATTCAAGTTTGCTCACCAAAATTTCTTCTTCTTGCAGTTTTCTGGCAATTTCAGCATCACGCCATTCCTGACCCCTGGGGATCACCCGTGATGGAGTGGAGACAGCTTCTTGCATCGCTCTTGGCTTCATTCCTAGAAAAATAAACTCAATGTAACCGAGTTTGTTTTCTGAAAAGTGGCAGATGTTAAGAAATTTAAGGTAAATCTTTACCTTAAATGTTAGAGTATATATTTACCTTAAATTTTAACTTCCTTTAGTATTCAACACTAACAATACTGCTGCCATTCCAAAATTCAGTGGAGGCTGCACTAGAAATATTTTTTCCCTTGGACAGGAAAGCGGTGATGCAGATAATCCGCACTTAAACAAAGTTACCCACACAAATCTGCCTGGTAAAACTCCCCTATCACAGAGTTTTTTCAAGAACAGAAAATCAGGCAAGGAACTGTGAGACTTTTGTAAAATAGAAAGTGGGCAAAAAAAAAAAAAAAAAAAAGGGTGAAGCCACTGAAATAAAAATAATTTAGAGAAAAGAAAGTTACAGAGTTGGAGTTTTAAGGAGGCGAGGCTGTCAAGACAGGAGGAAATGAGCCGCTTCCTTCCTGTGCCTCACTCAGCCTTGCACAAATCTTTTTCAGAAGGACAGAAACTGCATCACCCGGGAATTACGGGACAGAGCTTGTTAGCCACTCGGAGGCCCTCACATGGCTTCTGCTCTGATGAGCAACACACTCACTGGCTTTTTAGGTCTTTCCTATAGCTTTGATCAGTTTCATGCTGTAAATATTAAGGAAGATATAACAAAGGAAGTATCAGAGAGCAAGATGACTTCAGAGCTCTATTCCTCTGAGAAAGAACATGGGGGATTGGTGGGGGATTTGGGCCTTTTACTTTGAAATATTATATGTGGCATAAATTCCTTTAATAACTTTTAATTAAGTGGTAAATGCTAATGGTCATTTCAAAATTGTGTATAGTTCCCTCTTTACCCTTTATTATTACAATTATTCAACAATGTGAATGCATTATATTCAGAAATAACAATTTTTAATATAGTGAACAAGATTAACCATCTGAAACAATGACTTTCAGTAAATGGATTACTGAAGGGAGAAAGAAAATTTGCTCCTAATTGCCTATTTCTTTATATCAGTGATTCTCAACCATGGCTATATATTTGAATCATTTGTGGTGCTTTAAATAAACATAAAAATCTTTTACCTAAACCCCAGAGAATCTAATAAGTCGCCTGAATGAGACTGGCCTTTAGCAGTTTTATTTTTTAAATCTTAATAGTTTTGTAATTTGTAATTAGCATTAGAACTACCGGTTTAGTGTCTTATCTCCATCAAAATAACTGTACATTAAAAAAGTTTTTATCAAAATGCCTCACCACACTTATTTGCTTGCTTTAAACAAAACAGAAAACACAAGAAAATACAACTAAATTCTGGGCAAATGAAGCGTTTAAGTTACCTGGTAAGGCCTTTCTTTGTGGAGCTTTAAACCTAGCTTTGCAGTAAATCCAAAAGCCACAAAACTCATTTTCCTTTTCCATACACACAAAGAGACTATTAAACATGGTTTTCTTAGCTTCAGGACAATTAGTACATGATTACCCAGAATACAGAATCCACTTCAACTTTCATCATTCTAGAGCTACTGAATCTTATGCCAAGTAGGGCTGGGATTAACCCCGGTTTCAGAGCGATTTGGGACAGTCATGAAACAGTGGCATACTCTCAAGAGTGGATCATATTTAAAAGGAGTATAACCCTCCCTGAGCTATGATTAGAGTGGTCAGAACTAGAAAGAAATAGTTCAGGGAAAATCAATGAAATTAGATAAGGAAGTTAGTACTGGACAAAGTCCGTGGACAAGGTAGGTTACTAGATCACATTCCTCTCTATAGAAAAATGGCACTCCCGTAAGCAGCCCAAAGCCTAGCTGAGAACGACAGGAGAGATCACACTGGTGCCTTGCTCCTTCAATTTTGCCATCCAGTGAAAGAAACAAGGTAGTGTGATGTGTTCAGATATCAGGACACTAAGTTTTCTACACTATTATGCCTACTACTCTATACCACAGAATTAACTAAGAAAACATTTTGTTTTAATATCTATCAAAAACCTTTGGAAGGCATTCAAATGCAATAGTTTTAACTGGTTTAACAAGCTGATACAATTGTGACCTCTTAACAGTTAAAAAGATACTGATGCATAGTTAATGGAACAGAATAGTGAGCCCAGAAAGAAAACCTATAAATATATATCAATTAATTTATGATAAAAGAACCAAAAACATACAATAGGAAAAGGATAGTCTCTTCAATAAGTAGTGTTGAGTAAAACTGAACAGCCACATGCAAAAGAATGAAATTGAACCACCATCTTTCACCTTACACAAAAATTAACTCAAAATGAATTAAAGACTTGAACATAAGACCTGAAACCATAAAACTCTTAGAAGAAAACAGAGGCAGTCAGCTCTGTGACATCGGTCATGAAGATGATTTTTTTGGATTTGACACTAAAAGCAAAGGCAACAAAAGAAAAATAAACAAGTGGGACAAATCAAACCAAAAAGCTTCTGTACAACAAAGAAAACCATCAGAAAAATAAAAAGGCAGCCTACTAAATGGGAGAAAATATTTGCAAATCACATATCTGATAAGGGGTTAATATTCAAAATACATAAAGAACTCATAAAACTCAACAGTAAAAAACAACCAACAATCCGATTTAAAAATGGGCAGAAGATCTGAATAGACATTTTCCAAAGACACACAGATGGCCAACAGATACATGAGAGCGTGTTCAACATTACTCATTTTCGGGAAATACAAATCAAAACCACACTGAGATACTACCACACACCTGTCAGAATGGCTATTATCAAAAAGATCAGAAATAAGTGTTGGCGAGGATGTGGGGAAAAGGGAACACTTGTACACTATTGGTGGGAATGTAAATTTGGTGCAATGTTATCAAAAACAGTTTGGATGTTCTTTAAATAATTTAAAAAATAGAACTAATATATGATCTAGCAATTCCAATTCTGGGTATTTATCTGTAGGAGATGAACACACTAACTTGAAAAACTATCTACACCCTCATGTTTACTGCAGTATTATTTACAATAGCTAAGACATAGAAACAATCTAAGTACCCACTGATGGATGAATGGATAAAGGAAATGGGGTATACAGTCATGTGCCACTTAACAATGGGGATATGTTCTAACGCACTGTTAGGCAATTGAAATTGTACAGACATCACAGAGTGCACTTACACAAACCTACAGCTCTTGCTATATAGTCTACTACACACCTAGGCTGTATGGTATAGCCTATGGCTCCTAGGCGACAAGCCTGTACAGCATGTGACTGTACAAAACACACGAGGTTAAATCAAGCACAAGAGAAAATGATGCAATCAAGAGACGGAGTAAACACGAGATGTACGAGGCTATTGCTGGCATGTCAGGATATACTGTTTTACAGCAAAGTTTCTTCTTTAAGTAGAAAGAGTACACTCTAAAATAACGATAAAAAATATAGCATAATAAATACATTAAACCAGTAGCATAGTTGTTCATTATCATTACCAAATATTATGTACCGAACAATTATATGTGCTATACTTTTATATGAGTGGCAGTGCAGGTTTACACCAGCATCACCACAAACAGGTAAAAAATGCATTGCATTATCATATTAAGATGGCCACAACATCACTAGACAATAGGAATTTTTCAGTTCCATTATTTCCAATGTGCCCACCATCATATATGCAGTCCGTCATTGACCAAAATGCCATTATATGGCATATGACTGTACATATACAATGGAACATTATTCAGCCATAAAAAAGAATAAAATCTTGCCATTTGCAAATGGACAGACCCTGAGGGTATTTTGTTAAGTGAAATAAATCAGACAGAGAGAGACAAAATACCATACGATCTCTCTTACATGTGAAATGTAAGGTAAAAAAAAAACCGTCATAGATACAGAACACATACTGGTGGTTGCCAGCGGTGGGGGTGGGGGCAAAATAGGTACTTTTAATAGGGTTTCAAAAGGTACTTCCAGTTATAAGTCATGGGGATATAATATACAGCATGTTGACTATAGTTAATATTGTATTGCATATTTCAAAGTTGCTAAGAGAGATCTTAAAAGTTCTTATCACAAAAAGAAAAAAAGAATATCAACCAGACTTACTGTGGTGATTATTTCGCAATATATACAAATATTGAATCATGTTGTACACTTGAAACTAGTATGATGTTATACGTTAACTATATCTCAATAAAAATAGATAGAAGGAAGGAAGGAAGGAAGGAAGGAAGGAAGGAAGGAAAGAAAGAAGGAAGGGAGGAAGAAAGAGGGAGGGAGGGAGGCAGGGAGGGGGGGAGGGAGAGAGGAAAGGGAGAGAGCGAGGGAGGGGAAGAGCGGGAAAAAGAAAGAGTTAATATACCCTTAGGTCCCAACTATTTAGAAGGAAAACAGTTTATTGAGCTCTTGCATGTCTCACAAGGAGAAAATCTCCATAGCCTAGAATAGCCTACACTGACAGGACTGCCCACTCAAAGTAGTGCCCCCTGTACCAGACATGAAAAGAGCTTTTGTAAGTATGTAAGAAGGAACTTCAGGTAGTGCAGTCGAAGGCTGTCATTACATAAAGTAGAGATGCTTTTAAAATTTTAGTAATACAGTTAATTGAAGAAAATTAACAGAATGGCTATCCTCGTTTTGGTAGCCTAAACATAGTTTAGAAGCTAGCTTTCAAAAAAAATCAGGTGAGTCATATTTTCAACAGTTCCACATTCACTTCTTAACCTAATTCTTACTTATCTTTTTCTGTTCATCATTCTCCAGTATGAGGACATAAGACCCTTCCTCAATAAAAAATAAAACTTACCTTTAAATAAATTCTGATAGAGTAAGGTAAATTTTCTTAAAAGTACTGGTATTCAAGACAAATTAATCCCAAGTTTGGAATAAGGTAAAATGATAAGACTTGATACACTGCAAAAAGAGTATTTTGTAATAAACCAGTCTGACACTTGGGGAATGTCACAACAGAAAGATGCAGAACATTTGTGGTTCTGAGAATCTGGAAGTTAACCTGCAGAAAATTAATAAGGTAATATGATTTAACAGCTCAACAGAGAAGTTACCCTCAAGGTGGTATGGTTTTACCGCCCTTTAGAAAGTGAACCAATTTTATATTTAATTTAGCAATTTTATTTTGCATTGGGTTTTCAACTAACTCAGTAAAATCCTGTCCTGCAAATAAATGCTTACAACTTGCTATTTGTCATCCTAGTTTCTGCATTAAGTTAAATAAAACTTCGTCCTATGCTAATAACTTGAAGAATTTTGCTTTTACAACAGCAAGAACAGACACCAGTCAAAAAACATATTTGACTGTAATCCTCTCACCTATTCCAGGGGATCTGCAAAATCTAGCCTACTGGGGGCTAGGAAGGTAAAATTCGTAAAGTAAGTTGAATATAAAATTATAGACACTAGCAACTATGTTGTAGCCATGTCAGTACCTGCCTAACTTGTTTTTTTATTCACACCCCCATGCTGGTAAGACAAAACCAAAACATTTGCTTACAACTCCAGTAGGAGGTTCTATGAGTCAGTGTTAGTGCATATAAGTTTCACCTTTCCTAAGCCTTTTCAGGAGTCCCTCAAGAATAACTGAAAGCCATAAAGGGTATCTAGCCCTCAGAGCACACTTGTGTGGTTAGGTTCATAGAGACAGAAATGCTGAGGTTGGTCTAAGCGTCATTCTTCCCTCAAGCGTTTAAGAGTCCAACATGTCCTTCTAAATCTGTATATTGTATAACTTACTCATAAAGCCTACTCCAAACAGATTGTATCACTCCTTCTGTATGCCCCCATCCCTCTTTGTTCAAACTATTATCTAATTTGCAATTGTTTGTTTACATACCCATCTTTTGGGATTTAACTATTAACCTTCTGAGGCTTGGATCCAAGCACAAATACCCAAACACAAAGCCGTGAGGCAAGAATATTTGTGGCAGATACTCAGTATAGCTTGCTAAACTGAATTTTCATTTTCTTTATGAACAAGTCCTTTAATAACCTAAAGGATTAACATACGAGGAAGAAGCAGCTAAATCAGCCTGAATCTGCAACCTAGACACCAGTTTCCAGACCACAAGAGGTTGGCTGGGCAAACAATGAAGAAGAGAATAAGAACAGTCACCTCCGCGGTACCCCTTTCCCAATAACCCTTGCGTCTCTGCAAAATGTCAGTAAGAGAAAAACAGAACCAGGGAGATAAGTATGATCTAATTAAAATACCAGACAGAATAGTGCTGTGACTTACAGTGGCACAGCCACAGGCTTCCAAACAAGAATAGAGGGAGCTATTACTGTGTCAGTGATGGACTTCCGAGTTAAGCCTCAGAGGTGCCAGAAATTTGAGGCTGAAGTCTAACATTCTCTTCATTCCTATACAAGTACAGGCATACCTCAAGAGAAGCTGAGGATTGGGTTCCAGACCATCACAATAAAGTGAATACCACAAGAAAGCAAGTTGTAATCTTTTTGCTGGCGGAGGGTTTTGCCTTCGATTTGTAAAAAATGCAACATCTGTGAAGCGCAATAAAGTGAAGCGCAATAGAAGGAGGCGCCCCTGCGCGCTGGCATTTTAGAACACCAACTGCAGAGTTGGGGTGGAAGACCATGAGGCATAGAAAGTCACTTAAGGCAAGGATTTTCAAACTTGAAGCACGTGAGAATCACCTCCAGGTCTAAAACAAGCCCTAACTGCCAGGCCACATTCCAGAGATGAGAATATATGTGAGACCAGAAATCTGCATTGTTAGGAAATAGCTCAGCTGATGCTGATGAAAATGGACCAAGGCCCACAGTTTGAAAACCACTGTCTTAAGAGACTGACTGCCTCTTCAACTTCTCACTTTATAGATGGGAAAGATATGGTCAAGAAAATCGAGCACTTCCAGCCCTGTTGGTCTTCTAGTTAGGCAAATACTATTAAGGCAGTGTCACCACAGCTTCTGGGTTCACTGAACTAAAACCAGAAATTCAGGAGCTTTGATTTGGTATCTGAATCTCTGAGGTTCAGTCTTGGCAAATGAAGGTTGTATCCGGGATGGGCACCTTCACTGCAACCTGGGGCTGAAAGAACCCTGTAAGGAATCAGGGTATTCTCTTAGAAGACAGAAAATATTCCTACTCACTTGAGATTAAGTAATTACTGTTTGTAATATTTAGCTCCAGGATTTATTAAAAAGAGGCATGAGTACAAACTGGAGAGAGAGAACAGGCGGCCTGAGATGCTTATAAATACATTGGTTTGTATGCACATACGCGGCACCAGGCCTTCCAAGGAGACCGTCCTTTATTACCTTTGTCATGGAGTTGGAGCGGCTCCTCACTCTCTGAGAAGGGAGGAGTCCTGGGCCTGTGTTTCCTTTCTCTGTGCTCACCTTGCCCACGCTCCCTCCCACGCACGGGTTCCTTGCAGTGAGTCCATGCTTTCTGAGACGACTTCGGTGAAAGTCGGTCTTGGTGTCTGGACTCTTTGTCCCAATTTCGAGTTCGATGGCTACCGTTAGCCTCCCGGTCACCAGATTCCGTACTCAGAAACACCTCACCGCTGATTCTGGGAGGAGGAGGTCTCCGGGGCCTCTCATGACCAGGCCGTGTCCTTTCACGCTGCTCAGTGTTAATGTGAGGATCATCCCTCACTCTGCCCGAGCTAGAAGACAGAGGTCTCTCTGACGAATGATGCTCTTCCTGTTGTTCCAAGTTCTCCAGTGGGTGTTTGGCTTTCTCCTTTCTGTGTTTCACAGTCTTTTCATCACTTTGGAGTTTACAAGGCCTTGAGAATCCAGAACCCAATTCCCTTGCCCTCCTTGACCGTGGCTGGTCTGAGAGGAGGCGGAGGAATGTGAGAGACACAAATGCAGGTTAACTAAATGAGAGCATCAACTCAGTATTGTGGGTGAGACACAGCCCAAGTTTATCATATTTTAAAATGGAGACGACCACTTTTTCAACTTAAACTGAAAAGAGCAGATGGGCATTTACTAGAAGAAATCTGGGTACATAGCAAAAATGGTAAAAAAACTAAAATAAAGTGAAATAATTTATATCTAAAAGAAGAGCGTGATCATGATTAGGAAGAGTTAACAAAGTACTTTAATATTTGCCAATAACAAAAATTACAGCCATTAAATGTTAAATTATACTTATAAAACCAATTTGAAATAAGTATATGGGGGGAAAATGGGAGTTTGAGGGAGTCTCATAAAACAGAAAAACTAAGCTTTGTGATTCCAGTCAGAGGATTTTAAATATTCTTCTTGGAAATAATAATAAATCAACATCAGAATGTTGACAGTTTCCATGTAGTTTGGAGAAATGATCCATGGATTTTAGTATTCCTCTATCCTTTCCCCTTAGGTGGCCAAAGCGAACATTCCCAGCCATACTGCAGTTCAACGTGGAAGAGGATGAAGTAGAGGAGAATTTTAAATGAGTAAATGACCCTGTTATCTTTCGATAATTCTGCTCCCAATCTTGCTTGAAACTTGGAAGAGGAAAAAAATAAAAAGGGATAAAAAGGGATGCCATAATGGAATACATAAAAAGGGCTCATTTCCTAAATTCATTTCAAAAACTTTATGATACTCTACTGTTTGTACAAAACTACAGTACGTGCTAAATACACAAGTCACGAAGTTTAACACAATGTTCAAAAGCAGTACATGGATGCTTTTGTCAGGTCTCATTTAGGCACAACTGTACTGTGAAAATAAAGGAAGTAAATGAATATACACTTGGCAAGAGTGTACTTCAACATTTCTAAAACTTTTAATACATTTTGGAAATAATAAAAAGAAATCCTAGTTCCAAGGAAAATTGCTAAGATAGCTAAGATACGTTCGGTGCTGGAATTAGCCACTTGCTGAATTGCATTTCAAACAGCTACCCTAAGTTGATGGGATATAACTATACCTTTTCTTAGTTTTTAGATTTAGTTGGGATTTTTTGCTTTTGTTTTGCTTATTGGTTTTTTGTTTGTTATTGTTAATTTAATAAAGGAACGGAGGAAGGGAAGATATGTGCTAAATGAACCACTGATGCCATAAGCTTCTCAAAAACTTCATATTGTTTCTTCTTGAGCTTTCCAGAAAAGGAAATTTGCTTCAAAGATGACATATAAATCAAAATCTGTCTTCTAAAATGTCTGTAAAAATATTTATCTTAACCATATTTATGGTTAAATTTATTTTTTACATAACAGCAAAAGTGAAACAGAGCAATTACTCTGTGATAAAAAAAGTATCTACTCTTTTAATCAACTATTATTTTAAGTGAGAATCAATTGACTACTGCTGTGAATTAAAACAATACTGACCAGCTACTGAAATGATGATCCTGTCCAGGGAACAATGATTTACATTGTTAATACTAATGTCCCTACAGAGAGCTGCATGAGTGGAGTTCGCCTTTAAGTCTAGGAGGAACAAGAATGGTTTTGTTTTTGACATGGATTTGTGAGGCTATGATTGTTTCATTGTTATTGTTGCTGCCTTTAAATTCTTTCTAAAAAGTTTACTGATATTAGTACTTTTCTTTAGGAAATTGTGTTGCAAGAATTAAAACAGCTGTCACTACATTTTCGGAGGTGACAGGAAAACATAATTATTGTCTAATTCCCTTGCTGTGATACCTTTAAACGTGGGAAAGAAAAAAAAGAAAAAAAGACGGGTAGGAGAATCTGTTTGAACCCTTTAAAACCCCATCCAGTTAAGGGCTGAGACTTGAATGTTTCTGGAGACCAAAGTTATTTGGCAAATATAACTAACTTCCCGATAGCCAATGTACATACATATACATATGCATATATACACATATACATGTACATATACATATATATATATATATATATACACACACACACACAATACACATTTTATTTCTGTGCCTCCATGTTTATCTTTCAAAATAAGATGATTTTAGTTTAGATATAAAAAATACTGTTATACACATATAACATTAATACATGTATAAACAAAAGTACTTTAGAATTTATAAATCTTCACCAAAATCACATTATTTGATCTCAACATCCATATGAAGGATGTATTTTTATAATCTCCATCTTTACAGACGAGAAAAAGGCTTGGAGTGATTATAGCAGATATTTCCTTAACATTACAATTGTTATAAGTCCAAAGACCATGACTTTAAAAAAAAAATCACTAATATGCCTGTAAAATCACTATTATGCCTACAATAAGTGGGTTTGAAAGAAAAACATGGATGCACAAACGAATAAGATATACCATTTCAGTTGATATAAATCTGATAGATGTTTTGGATAATTTCAAATTTGTAGAAAATCTATAAATGATCATTTTTAAAAGATTGATTTATTAAATTTAAGTAAAATAAAGCTGAAAAGACCACTTCTGTAATAATATATTGTGATTATTATGTAACCAAGGCAAAAATCATATCACATAACCACAGAGAAATACAATTAAAGAATAGCTCTTATGTGTTGGGAAAGGACCACTGCAAAGAACATAAGGACTGCTTTGTAAATATGAACTCAATTGTAAAGTGGTTTCTGTGGAACGCAACTTGGGGCTAACTCAAAGGCATTATAAATGAGGATCAAATGCTTGGCGATACATAATCTTTCAACAACAACACAACTGAAGACAAATTCTAATATTTACATTCATATGCATATGCAACCTCCCCTAACTCCAAAACAACTGGCATGCATGCCACTTTCTATAAGTTAACAGAAACAGTTAAAACACATATAGTTTTGTTTTTTGTTTTTTTTTTTAATTTTAGGTGTCCCTGAAAATGCACTGAATTCTAAACATAGTCTCCTGTGCTAGAGATATGAAATCTGGATGACAGCACTCTGGTCAAAACAACCAAGTCCGAGTTCCAATTCACATTAGTACAAGGTTTTAACAGAAGAAGGCTAAAATTAATACTTTATAGTACTTCATTACTCACCATCCTAATGGTTTCATAGACTTAAAAGTTTAAAATGGTTACTTTTATTTGCAGTGAGCATGACTCCAGAGCAGAATTAAAAATGAAAACACCAGACCACGTTTCTAAGATTTTAATTAAGTCTGAAAAGTAACTCTTTACCTTCTGTTCTCTGGTATAGCAAAATATGGAAATAATGTTTCTTTTTAAATGATGTAATACATGATTGCATTAGAAAACCAGTGTAAGAAAAATGGGTATCAAAAAAGAGCTGGGAATTTTACACATGGAAGAAGAACATGGCAAGCAGTAAACGAAATCACTTGCTTACTAATTATGCCATAGAGCTGAGGGCTACTGGTGATAAGTTCAGAACAACAACATGACTGGGCACGAATGTACCTAAACTGTAATAATGCTGTCATCTACATCTATTGGGTTGTCGGAAAAGTCATGATGCCTTTTTGCAACGAAAAACATAGAAAAAATATGTCATGACTTTTCCGACAACCCAATACATCCCTTTCACTCTACTCATCCAAGACAAGCACCTGTTTACTCACCTTTTATAATGAAATAGAGAAGCAATTGAGAATTAGTTTGTTAGTTTGCAAGGGCCTTTGAAATCAATGACCTTAAAATCTTTTCTCTCTAGAAGCAGCCTTTAGATTTTCTTTACTTGCTATCCTGAGTATGGTCTCCAAGCTGAACTACAATACTCATACTACAAATTACAGAAATGTCTTTCCTTTGACAGAGTTTCAAAAAGGACTGAACAATACTTGCAAATACTCATTTCCCAACACATGTTTAAGATAAAGAATCACCACCACCACACCATCACCACCACCATACTGCGAAAGCAAGCACTGGAGACGGGAAACTTTGAAGGACCTGCTTTCCCTTAGAAATTTTTCTATATGGTAATCAAGTAACAAAGAAAGCATCAAGAGCAAAAAAAATAAACAGAGAATCTTAAATTTTAATTTTGTTATCAGCAGGCCAAACCACTGGTCTATGTTTAAAAGACAAGAAGGAAAAAAAGCGTTGTTGTCCAACAACTGATGTATGCTGAACCTTCTTTATTATCTGTGCCACTCTGCTGCTTCAAATCAGCAGTGCCCAGGTTTCCTTGAGAAAGATCAAGCCCAGAGACGCATCTGCCATTTCTCACCCTCCTCCCGCCATCTACGTGGTTAGAATGCAATGACAGCACTCCAAGTGGCAATAGCGCAGATATGCATGCCAAATCTTACAAGACCATATTCAAATGTTCACAGCCATAAAAATGGCTCTGGTCACTCAACTAAGGAACAGATGAATCCATTAGATTCAGACAGAATTTGGCCACAAATCTGAATGGGCCTTCACGTCACTTTATGGACAAATTTAAAGGGGTGTCTCACAGTTGAATCTAAAGATAGAGGTCATGACGTTGGCACTGCTATGTTACCTCCATCTTCATAACAGTAACTCTCTCCATAAGCTCCAGAGGACTCCGGAAAGTGTTTCTTTCGCTTTTTCTCTTCCTGTAACTCCTTTTCTTGCAAAAGGCGAGCTATGTCCTGCGAAAAGAGAGAGAAGGGAAATAAACATTACCAGAGCATGAACGAACTCCACAGAGTGACCCTGCAGGTCAAGAGGCCCACATTCCACTGCGACACTTTTTGGGCAGCCTGTCTACCACTCTACCGACTTTCTGGCATTAAGCTCATGCAATTCAAATGCCACTGACTGCTCAACGGAGCGGCACATGACCCAGATGAGAGAGGGAGAGGCTTTCTTCTTAATTGAAATTTAAACCTAACTCAATCTGAAGACATTCAAGCTTAGTATTCCTAAAGCTGGTCATACAACAGAACTTTTAAAAATTCGTATTTGTGGACCCTTTAACCAAGCTGGTGATTCAGTAAGTCTGGGTGAGGAAGGGTGCAATAATCTGTAGAACTTGATAAATTGTTTTTACAATTTAACTTTAAAACTGTTTAAAAGAAGTTTCAGCTGATTCTGATTCGACTTTGCTTTACAGTATCACTGTCGTAACTGAAAAAGAGAAAACAGTCTCCCTCCTGCTTCATTTTCAGGCAAGTTTTTAGTAGTTAATGAGTGATGAATAACATTCTGACCCTGTCCCCCAAAAGATTACCACCCCATATAAAAACAAAGGTGTATACAAATAACCACAATGCAGCTAATTTACAAATGCCTCAAAAGGAGGGTAAAAATGTCTACGGGAGCACCAAAAAGGGAGTATTATTTCTGCTTAAAGGAATTAGTGCACAGCTTTGCATCTGTGTTAGGTTTTGAACAAAGAACTAGATTCCAACAGGCAAAGTAAGGAGAGAACATTATCAGCAAAATTATGAATGTTTTCATGGACATCAATGCAGGGAACAACCAATAGTCCAATTAGAACACAGGATGTGGAGTGTTGCAGACAGGTGAGGCTAGGAAAGTCTAAGGCTGAAGCATAGGCATTCCCTATAGACAACCTTAAGTCTGAATGGAGTCTAGAATATAAGGGATGAAGCACTACTAAATGTTTTGAGCTGAAGAGTGACAGTGTTCTGAATCGGAAGATTATTTCTATAAAAGCCCCATAAAATAGCACATAAACTTTGTTCATATATACTTTTTCGGAGAGAAAATCCATAGCTGTCATCAGATTCTTAAAAGGCTCATACAAATACAGCAACAATACTCAATGGCGCAACAGTAATAACAATCACAGGTGGTTTGAGGTGCTTACTTCTTTATATTTAAAATAAGGAATACAAGACATGCTTAAATGTTAATGACTTAAATTCTGAAACTAGAATTACTATGCTTCCTTTTGCAATCTTCTGATTAATTCAAACTAAAGAGAATACTAAGACCACAAGGCAAACCTAAAAAAAAATTCAAATGAAGAAATCAATTTCTTTCACATCAGTGTAGAAATAATTTGGATGTGGAGGCTAGGTAAATTAGCAATGATTATTCATATACTCAAATTTTAATGTTCATTGAAACAGCCTTACAAATTGGACTTTATATTCAATAAATGCCTACATTCAAACTTATAAATACAGTATTAACATATTGCCTTTAACTGATTGCTATGCTGGAAGTTTCTCATAGAACTGTGTGAAAGGTGTAGGTGTGTGTGTGTGTGTGTGTGTGTGTGTGTGTGTGTGTGTGTGATTTGATAAATAATCTACAAAAAAACCAATGCTATAGTGTTAAGACACTTCAGTGTGCACTCACAAAATGTTGCAAGAGTAAGAGGTAAAGAACATAATCCTACTTAACACAAGTATAATTTTCATGCAAAGAAATCTGAATTTCTAATACTTCGATTAAAAAAAAACCCTACGTCTGAAAGTTAAGATGATTTTCTTTTCCCTTCCAGTTTAAGCCAGAGATGCTTTAGAGACATTGGGAAAGAAACATTAACTATAAAATAAATTTCTTTGAGCTTAAAATCTTTACCTGTACAGTGAAGAGTTTAGACTACTCAATCTTAAAGTCAAATGTATTGACTCCCTCATGCATCATTTTAATAAAACTGTGAGTGTTACCACATGCCAGCCACAGTGCCAAGTTCATTACATTTGATGTCTTACAAAGCAATACATCAATCAGTTAAGAAAATAGAGAGAGGTGGGAAGATAACTTGTTCTCCCCAAACTAGCATCTTTTATACTAGTATTTCCCAAATTCCTACACTTTTTACTGAAGAAGTAAAAACGCAAACACCTCCCTGAGTTGTCATGTTTAATGCACTCGACATTACATTTTCCTAAGTGGTTTGCAATACAGAAAAGAAAAAAATTTCCCTTGCTATAACTGAGTAAAACTATAAAGAAAATGAGCAGATCCAACTGCTAGCAGAAATTATTAAACTACACACCAGGGACCTTTATCAGTGTTTTCCTGCTATTGAATTTAGTCCTAATACATATATACCCGTAGTAAGTAATAAGCTGCCTCCTCAGTGTGAAGACCCAGGAGAGAAACAAGGACTGACAATCCCTTCTTCACAATGTATTAGCTAGTCAAAGAAGTGATTTTAATCAAGAAGAAAAATAATAATCGTAATGTGTCATGTACCTCAGCACCCAAACATTTGGCTCTTTTAAGCCCTCAGCTCTTTTTTCAGTAAGAAAAGTTTTTTCCGGGTGAGAACAAAGGTCAGCTAGGCTTAAGGAGGGAAAGAATAAAGAATTCAATGGAAAATTGCAGCTATAATATAACTGTGGTTTAGCCCAAGTCAATTCTCCTCCCTGCTTTCCAACATTACTGTGTAACGAGTTCTGTTAGGTGATTTTGGTATAAAGCATTTTCCCTGAAACAAGCTAAAGATGGCAACTGTTAGTCACAATGCTTGGATGTAGCTTAGTCACCCATGACATAAACAACCTCCTTGGTCCTTAGCTTCCTTCCTCTTAAAGATTAGTCTAGAACAGGATTTCCAAGCCCTGTTCCTGAGAACACATTGGTCTCAAAATGTTCTCCAAAAAACCTCAAAGCATTCAGCAGAAAGTATATATTATACCTAACTATTTAAAACACACAGGAGTATATTTCACAACTCTGATTTAAAACAAAAACAAAAACAACCTGTTATCTTCCTGGAACCCATGAATTTCAAAATTTACTTTGTGACAGAAGCCCTTTTTTTTTTACATAAAAAATATAAAGCTTATGGAATTAGTGTTCCATAAAACATAACTTGGGAAAACAAATCTCAAAGAACACATAAACCCTTTTGACGTCATTTTCAATGAGATTTAATTAATCATATTCTTTAGATAGACGTACTTTGGGCTAGTATGCAGAGAGGAGCTCTGATACATAGAAGACTTTCTAGTAAATACTTTTATCGAAATAAGAATTTACTACTATATTTCACCTCTCCTTTTTCTGTTATCCAAGCTCCCCCAACTCTGAAAAATCTGCAGCTATGAGCATAAGGAAGGGCATAGTTAAAGATCCCTAGAATGCAGAAGAAAGTCTCTTTAATGAAAACATCGATTTACTGACCCTCTTCAATGGGCCAAACATCCTGCTACAGATCTGTAGAGAAACAAGATATGGTCAATATCCTGAAAGTGCTTGTCTATCTAGTGTTAGAAGCAAATACTGACATAATGTAAGAGTGCAAAGGTGAGTGCTCTGAGGGAGGCATCATGCCTACAAGGTGCAGTAAAGCCCAGAGAGCCTGGCACATCTTTCTCAGGTGGGTGACAAATTACTGAACCACCGTGTTAGACTCCTTAGGGTATTGTTATGGTTTATATGACTTTATGTCAGGGTTACTTCTCCCCAGGGAAATCCCGGGTATAAAAACAATCTAAAGGAGATCTAAAGTTGTGATTATCAAATGACCGTTGCAAAGAAAAAGAAAAAGAGCCACTCCATTAGATTGCTAAATTCTTTATTAGCTAGCAATTAATATATTGACATCTAACTCAGTAGGGAACGCAAAGCAGGTATAACCCCAAAAGAGTTACTCTGTAAGACCAGGAACACAAAATAATACAAATTCTGTGGATGTTTAAACATTAGTATAAATAGGGTAAGAATAGAGAAGAACTGTCTCAGTCAGAAGCCTCCTGTTCACTCTCCTTTTCTGGACATTTATGTACAAACTGATTTTTAAAGTCTCAAAACATAGGAAAAAAATTTAGTAGCTAAATGTATTGCTATTTGAGCTATTCTCTAAATATTACCTACCAACTTATATAAAATTCTTCTAGAACATGAAATTCTAATCACTTTCAGAATGCTATAAAAAAAGTACTATGGTTCACACTAGGTTAATTTTAAATGTAAATTGGTTACTAAATATATCCCTGAGCAGTTTATAGTATAAATGGCTTCGAATTGCTGGACTAGTGCCACAAACTTTTCCTAACATGGTTGGCCATGCTGTTTGCTTAAGCAAAAAAAAAAAGAAAGTTTTTCTCCCTAAAATAGTTTCTCATCCACATATATTTGGATCTAGGTTCAAAGACACACATATGTATAGCTACAGATATTCACATACACACACACACACACACACACACACAAACAAACTTAAAGTTTTATTTAAGAATAAGTTAAAACAAACTAAACACACATTCCTTGGCTTTATTAAACAACACTGACAAATGCGTATGCTGTGATCAACAGAAAGAACCCAGTGAAATTAGCCCACTTCTACTAATCACAAACTCATACAGTCCAGTGTTCTCAAAAGCTATAAGCCCTTCCAACAGAGCGCCTAGAAAGAAATGTAACTACTATATTCAAGACACTGTTTAACAGTTTAAAAAGAAAAAGGAGAAGGAAGGAAGAAGGAAAGTAGGGAGAGAGAGAGAGAAAAGAGGGGGACAGGGAAACAGGGAGAAAGGGGAGAAGCCACAATTCTGGTTAAGAATACAAAAGATTTTTTTCTTTAACTTTTCAACATCTGTCTCCCTGAAAGAAAATGCTACTTTCTTTATATCTGTGCTCTGTTAAAAGGCACAATAAAATTATCCCACAACAAAGCTAGACATCTTAATTCACCCACACAAAGTTATATAACTCTTACTTCTCCTATAAAATGTTGTTCAGAAAACAAACAAACAAACAAACAAAAAAAAACACAAAAAACTCTGTCCCAAGAGTAAAGGAGCCTTGGATTCTACATCTGGTTGTTTTGGGGAATTATAAAAGACCTAAGCGAGTTGACCCTAAAAATCTCTAAAAGAAGAGATTTTGGAGACAACTCCAAAGAGGAATTTTCCATAGCCCTGCTGTTGAATAAAAAATTACTAGCTAAGAGGACTTTACAGGAAGTAGACGAGCATAGAGAGAAAAATAAAATAATCAGGGCAACACATGAATAACAGGCAATGCTTTTTTAAGCATTGGTCAGAAAACTTAGCGCCACTGTCTCTGTCTCCTCTGAGGTACCTAGGACTAAAATAAACAAATTAGCATTATCCTACCAGGTCTGACAATTAAGTTCGCGAACTGTTACAACCATGTTGCTAACCTTTTTTGATATCAGAGGGATTATTCATTATGAATTTGTACCAACTGGACAAACAGTTAACCAAGTTTACTATTCGAAGTGCTGAAAAGGCTGCATGAAAAAGTTAGACGACCTGAACTTTTTGCCAACAATTCATGGCTCTTGTATCACGACAATGCACCAACTCGCACAGCACTGTCTGTGAGGGAGTTTTCAGCCAGTAAGCAAATAACTATTGGAACGCCCTCCCTACCCACCTGTTCTGGCCCCCAATCACTTCTTTACCCGAAGATAAAGGAACCACTGAAAGGAAGACATTTTGATGACATTCAGGACATCAAGGGTAATACGACAACAGCTCTGATGGCCATTCCAGAAAGAGAGTTCCAAAATTGCTTTGAAAGGTGAACTAGGCATTGGTAGGTGTATAGCTTCCTAAGAGGAGTACTTCGAAGGTGACCATAGTGATATTCAGCAATGAGGTATGTAGCACTTTTTTTAGGATCAGTTCACAAACTTAACTGTCCAACTTAGTACATTCTTCAGTGGTAAACTTTACTGATGCAAATTTTGTTCATTTAAAATTAACATACCTGTCAGCTGAGACTCACATTTTTCAATGATGAAAGCCCTCTTCTTCTAATCTAACACTTCAGTTGAGAAGTCGAAAAGTCTGAAAGGACTTTTTAAAGGCTAGCCTCACTAAATCTTCACAACTAGAATTCTCATTTAATCTCTCCACTGTACTGGGGCAGGGGGATCACTTCAGTAGGTCAAATAGTAGAAGACAAGGTAGTGGGAGGCTCGTAAGGACAAATAAATGGTTAACGATAAGTCAAATCACACTATATTTGAATATACTTAAGCCTGTTTATTTTGCCCCCCCCCCACCAATGTATCACATATCACTCTATAAGAGAAATCAGAGTTGCTATAAAGAGCAGAATGGTGAGGAAAACACCTTGCAAACAGTGAAAAGTTAAGAGCAATTATTAGCTTAATACGTACCAGAGGCCTTATAAAATGATTCCATTTAAACCTCATAACATAACCTTTAAAGTATGTACAATTATAATGACTTCTCCAATTCGGAACCTGAGTTTCTACAGAATTAGGTGAGGTACTGAAAGTCACAGCTAAAAGTTAAACAGCTAAGATTCAAATCCACAGTAGCTCACTCCAAAGTCTATGTGTTTCATGTTGTATCACAGTGTATCTAAGTCAGAAGCAGTCAGTCAGGAGACCTGTATGGTACAGACCTTTCTCTGGCTTCTTATTCTAGCTTGGAGCCAGTCACTTACTTCTTCAAGATATAATTTCTTCACCTGAAAAATGGAGTGATTCACTACACTGCTGACTTTATATAGTACTGCCATGAGATTTATTGTGATGGCTATTTAGATTCTACATGACTAAAGTGTTTTGGTTTCTCTTTGTATCCTGTTTTTCCCTGACAGGGGGGGAAAAAAAAATCACAGGACACCAGTAGCATTTATAAGAAGCCAAGTTAATTACTCTGTTATTTTTTAAATAGAAGCTTTCCTGTCTACAAAATATAATCACTTCTTTCAGTTCCCAGTTTCATCCCCAAAGCAAAGTCTTGACTATAGAGAGGCAACACATCCTGTAGTAAGAAAGAGGTCCTGTGTTGATTAAAGGAAGGATAAAAAGTAATCCCTAATTCTTACTTGCAATTCTGATTACCACATAATCGTGCTTTGTTTCCTAAAGAAACAGCTACATACACTCATACTAGCTGTCTCACACTCACCTGGCAATGAACAAGGAGTTCTATGGGAACAAGGGCGGCTCAGTGGAATAGCCGTACATGTCCACTAGTTTACTGATGACCCGGACCCTATCTGTTTAATAGGGTGATCATAGGTGCCGGGTAGTCCAGGGTAGTCCCAGGTTATGTAATTATTAATAGTGTACCCTTTAACCTTGAGAAGTATCTGTGATGATACAATAAATCATATGGTCATTCTACTACTATTAAAAATGATAAATAATTTTCTTCCTTAGTATAAATCAAGACAGTGGCCAAGAATAGCACAATAGGTATGAAAGAAGGCAGATACAGAATCAGTGCGAAGTGAAAAGAAACTGTAAAAAATGCTGGAAACATAACACAAAAGCAAGTAAGTTAATCACATATTCAAGTCTTCTTACAAACCAAACACTATTGCTAGTTTTAGTTATTTTTGGCTCCAAAAACAGTACAATTTAAAAATATATACAGAATCAAACGGATTAGTGCTTTGAGCCAGCGTATCACAGGAGAGTGAAACCACTAACAAAACAGAGTTAGAGCAATGACTGATCCTAGCCTTTCAGTTGATGACACTTAAGCTCTGCTCTCACTAAACTTGTGGGAATAACCTCAGATAGACACACTATATTGGGTTGAAGAGTGTGCCCTAAACACTCATTTCTACCAAGAAGTTTGGAATATGACTTTATTTGGAAATAGGGTCTAAGCAGATGTAATTAGTTAAGAAGAGATCATACTGGGTTAGGGTGGGTCCTCACTCCAATGACTGGTGTTCTTATAAGAAAACTAGAGAACACACAGCTACAGGGAATAAGGCCACGTGACAACGGAAGAAGAGACTGAAGTGATGCAGCTACTGGCCAAGGAATGCCAAAGACTGTCCGGAGCCACCAGAAGCTAGGAAGAGGCAAAGAAGGACCTTTGGTAAGATGGCCCTGCCAAAACCTTGGTTTCAATATCTAGCTTCCAGAACTGTGAGAGAATAGTGTCTCCTGTCGTAAGCCACCAAGTTTGTGGTAATTTGTTTCAGCAGCCCTAGGAAACTAATTCACCCTTTATGTGAAAGCATCCATTATCATCTTTTAAGATTTCACCACTTACACAACTGATCTAGGGACAGTAAAGAGCGGTGCTGGAAGGCAATACTTGGGACTATGCGCCCCGAGAGGAGAGTTCTGCCACCCATGCAGCAATCCTACGCTGAGCCCGTGAATGCAGGCAGTAACTGCTGCAGACTGGGGCAGCCCGTCCCCATCGGGGGAGGGCGTTGACCAGGCGGTACCTCATCCTTCTTCTCCTGGATGCGGCGTCTCTCTGCCTCAATAGCCAGCTTCTCCTGGATTTCCTGAGCAATTTCACAGTCTTGTTGCTCACTAAAAACAAAGATAGAAATAACGTGAATAAAGAAAATAAGGAAAAATAACCCAACTTACAGAATACTCACTATGAGCCAGTGCACATTTTTATCTCACTTAATCCTCACAACAATGATACAAACAGGTCGATTTTGTCACAACTTACAGGTGAGAAAACTGAGGCCCCTAGTAGTGAAATCATTTTCCTAAGATCACAGAGAAAATAAGTGGCAGAATCAGAATCTGACCCCCAGACACGACACTGGAAAGCTCCATGCTTTTTCTGTCCTGCCACATCGTTCACCCAACCAGGACCACTCTACAGGGACAGGCAAGTTTTCTCATGATTCTGCACAGGAGATGCAGGCTATGAGGTTAATGTCCACAAACATCCGAATACGTAGAAAAACACTGACAGCGAGCTCACTCAAATGTCAATAACACTGTGGTCACCTAGAGAGGGTGGGGTATGGCTTTAAAATGATTTTTAGATTTTTTTAATTAGATTTTATTTTCGATTTCAATAGTGCTTTGAAAAAGGGCGGGGGGGGGCAATGTATATCCCTCAGCTTCTGTCCCCAACAGAAACCTCTCTGACTGATACCAGTTTTCTTAACACTCTGGCCACTAAGAAAACCAAACATGTAACATTGCTGCTACCATAGTTTTGTTTTGGCATTCATGAATTCAACAAAAATTTAAACACCTTCTATGGTCCCGGCACTATGCTCAACACTGAAAATACAAAAAAGAATAAATCTTCATCCTGTGTTCATTTTGGTGGGAGAAATAAGACAAATCATTTTGGTGGGAGAGACAGATCCTTTAGATCAGCACCAATAAAACAGCCGTTCCAACAGAAAAAGGAGTTTGGCTCTCCCAGAGATGGCTACAAGTCAATGGGCAGCTTAAAATTCTAGAATACAATGGCTCTGGGGAGCTAACCTTCACACAAAACTGTTAGCTAGGAAAGGTGAACATAAACACGCTTAGAGTTTACTATCTAAAAAGATGCTGGAATAAAATTACATTTGTGATTTTTATATCTTGCTCATTTCCTAAACCAATATATCCTCTTAGTCTTCCCCTGCAAGTTGAACTTAAAATACACAATGAATCTCAGTCTTGGTTGCGTATTCCATGTTTAATGGCAGTCTTTTGTAACTGAAAAGTGTTGGGTGCGGGGTGGCAATATCCTAACCTCTCTGGAGAAATTGGAAACCACATATTCTAAACAAAGCTGACAGATAAGATGAAACAATAAAAATAATTCTCATTTGTATAAGGAAATGACCACTTTCAACATGTTTGGAAATAGGTGATGAAGGTGGAAGCAGATGAGCGCACACGTGGGTATGTGTGCACACACAAGACAGAAAAGGGGGAAAGGATACAAGACAGAGAGCACAGGTCATGTAAGGGTGATGCTGTCCTTTTCAAAATATAACAATTTAGTTTTCTTTTCTTTTTCTTCTTTCTTCTTTCCCTCCTACCTGATTCAACAACTATGTTTCCTTGAGGCTACATGCATACGTCGTTTAATCTTATTAATCCCCAGAACGCTGACTTGAAAGAAACTGAGTCAGCCTTCCGTCATCTGGGCACCAGCAACCAGGCTGCAATTCTGGACTGTGCTTTTCTGTCAGATGACATATGAATCACCCCTAAGACTGGGTTCGAGATAACCATCATGGGACAAATTGGACCCCAGGGGACGTTCTCCCCAGATGTCAGCCCCAAAGGGTCGCATGACTAACTCCCCTTTCCTTTGTTCTGTTCTTGTCTACCTATAAAACTCCTTGACCGTTCAAGGAACCGGGAAGGTGGCCTTTGAGACAGGAGTCTGCCATCTTCCCGGAATGCCAACATTTTGAATAAACCTACTTTTCTTTCCATCAACCCTTGTCTTTCAATCACTGGCTCACGAGTGGCAAGTGGCCAAACCTGAGGTCAGTAACAGTCAGAGATGTTAGATTTTTTTAGAGTTAGTAGGAAAACCACTGGATAAGATATCTGCAGATTTGATTTCTGGTCCTGCTAGTGAATCATGTCCTCTCATGTCATCTTATCAGATATAAAAGTTTTTAGAAGGAATGACTTCATATTTTAGGTCTAACAGTCTAGGATTCTTAAGCATTCAAGCCAAAAAACTGAAAATAAACAAAAATCTACTTGTAACAATTTTTACTAATATATCCTCCTTTTATGCACTCACTTCAAATAATTAAGAACCACAAACAAAATTATGGTCTTAGTTTTCAAAGACTTCTCTAGAGCCTGGCTCTCCCAGATTAATGTAAAATCTGCATAGGAGGAAGCAACTCCGACTACATGCAAGGTGATAACAGAAGGGAAGAAAGCAGAACCCACTGTAGAGAAGGCAAATCCAAATGAAGTGTTATAGGTCACAAGGGACATAATAAGCTGTATCTCCTAGTATAGAAAATAAAGAAATGAAGTTTAAGCTGAGCTTAATTATTTCAAACCATTTTTCCAAGGAAAACTAGTTCTAGTTCACTTAGCTTATTATATGGACTCCTGAGGAAGCAAAATCAAGTGAGAAAGTAGTCACCGATCTTAACAAACAGGGGACCCAGGACCCAAACTGGGTAAAAGGTTTCCATCATTTAATCTTTCCCTTGATGTTTAACAGTCAAGACTACCAGGATGTGAAAATTAAAAAACGTCCTTTCTAACTTAACTTTTTTCAGCCAGAAATACCTCCAAAATCCTGAAGTCCCAGACAGAAATATAATACCTGATTCTTCTCTCCAAATCTGATTTATTGTTTATAGTATTTTGTCTCGATTTTCTCTCAATAATCTCATTATACTCAATATAATTTCCCTAATCCAGGATCTTAAACTTCTACACCAATCTCAGAACTGGCTTTCATGACAGGGCACTGTGACTAACAAAAGACAATAATTTAGAACTGCGGAAACTTCTAGCTCTGGCTCTCATCTTAACTCTGTGACATCAAACCTCTACACATCTCAAATCTCTCTCTTCTGACTCCATTAACACTACCCTAAATCCAGGCCTCATAGGCCCCTCGTTTCTGTATTTCTATCACCCACTATCCTCATTCAAGCCTCATCATCTCCTAATTTGACCACTGCTCGCTCAATAGCTCCCTTCAATCTTGCCCCCTCTAATCCTTTACCTACCTAGCATCCAGAGTAGGCCACTAATGAAAATCTAAAACTCCTTCAATGGTTCTCTATTATTTATAATATAAAATTTACAAAGCATAAATTCCTTAACATAAGTTCTGTGACCTTTTGGTCCAGCTTTTGACTACCTCCTGCCTCACCTCCTACCTATACCCCTAACCATACTCCAGCACTACTGAACATCTTGCAGCTACCATGAGATTCCGGGTTATTTTACCTCTGACCTTTAATCATGCCCCTCCCTCTAGCTAGAAAGGTTTTCCCAAATTATCACTCTAAACTCTTAATTAACCATCAAGGTTCAGATTAACTACATCGCCTGTGTTGGGATGGTTTTCCCTGACTCTTCTCTCTTCATAGGCGTGACATTTACTATTCAATTCTCCATGCCTCATGCATGTATCTCTACATATAGAAAGTTCAGAGTATCTTCCTGAGGCCCTTATACACAAAGGCTACGTTTTTTCCTATCTGTGCTCGCCCACGCCTTTCATGGTGTCAGGCATAGCAAGAGTCAACAAAAATGTTTATTTACAAAATAAGAAAGCTGAACAAAAATTATGAAGTCCTCTCCTCCAATAATAAACTAGAAAGACCCTTCCTCAAAGGCAACAAACAATAGGCTTTCCTGTTTATTTAAACATGACAACTGAAATAAATTGAGGGGTCCTTTCAATTCTTCCTCTACCCCTTCCTCCTCAAAACGGTATCTTGTAGTTAAATCCACCACTAGAGATTTAGGTATAAGAGCGCTCTTCAAGAAGTTATGCACCCTGTGAGTTCTAACACTGAAAAATAACAAGTAATTGTGCTGGAAGAGAATTTACATATGATCTCTCCACTTATTTAACTATTAAAGGAGACTGAGAAAGAACTCTCGCCAGACACTGAAGCTATGGAGAGGACTGAATGTACGATTCAGAGCTTTCCAGAAGATTCTGCCTCTACCTGAAAGCAAGGAGTTCAAGGAAAAGAAGAGCAGCAAACACAGCTGGGAAATAAAGGAACCCCACACAACTCATCAAGCTCTCTCATATCCAGTGTTTCACTGGATCCCCCAACCTGTGAGGCAGAAGGGACAGAACTCATCTTTCCCATGTTGCAGGGGAGGAAAACAGGTGGACCGCATGGCTCAAAGTCACACAACTAAAATGGTCAGTTTACACCTCATGTCCCCAAACCTAGTCAAGTGCTCCAACAGTAAAGACAATTTTCCAAATCAAAGGAAAGGACGGACAAATGGACGGACACGGACACACACACACACACACACGGACAGACACATACACAGACAGACACACACACACGGACAGACACATACACAGACACACACACACACACACACACACACACACACACACACACAGTGTGTAATCTGATAGAGGCCTCAGAGGAACAGAAGGAGGGTGTCCCCCTTCCCCACCCCGTTGCTGGCTCTAGAGAAAAGCAGTCCTGGCCCAAGGCCCCCCGACTCCCCAAATCCTCACAGGTCCTTGTAGCGCTTCTGAAGCTGGGCCTGAGCTTTCAGGTCTTCCTCCTGGAGCTGCTTAGCCACCTGGAGATCATGCTGGACCAAACGGTTCCGCTGAATGTTTGATGCCAAATGATGCTCAACTGGACAGAAAGATTGAAGACAGAAATTACCACGCTTTGGCTTATTAAACCTAATAATAAATTTAAGAAAAACTTTTCCATTAAAAAGCTTCACATCCGTCATTTTATTTTATGCTCTCAATAACGCTGTATAATAGGCAACACAGGAATTATCATTCCCATCTTTTCATTAAGTAAAAAGAGGGTCTGAAAGGTTAAGTAATTTGCCTTTGGTCATGTGGCAAAACAGTGGCAGCGCCAGGACTTCTACATAAATATTCTAAAGCCAGGGCCGGTGTTCTTTCTGCTCTACAAGTTGCCACTCTATTTATAAACTATACTTTTCAATACTTAATTTTTATATTGACACATGAATTAATTCTTCACAAATTACACATTCACAAATACATACTTTTGTACAACCCATGTAACTTAAGATTTACTTTCCAAAATTACATACATAAATATTCAGAAAAATCCACAGTCTAGATTACCATCATTGTCTGGAAAAAGGTGTGCAGGCCTCTATTTTAGGGGAAGAAATAGATCCCTACGAAAGCCGTCTACACACCCCAGACACATGAATTACCTGTGTCTCCCTCCTATAACACTAAAGGGAAAAGGTTCAAGTCCCTCTTTTCCTCCAATTTATCCAACAGTCTTCTAATCCCTGGCAGCTGCCATACTTCAAAATACCTAGAACGTCATTCTTCACCCAGGTGTCAGCTGCTAGATAAATCAATGCCTCAGATGGACGGGTGGTGCAGCCTGGTGACTGTTCTCTCTGTCTCACCCTAAGAAACCTGCCTCAGGATACCACTAACAAGAAGGAAACTGAAGGAGCACAAATGAGGGCCTTTACTCACTCTCTTGTTCCTGCAGGCTGTGGGCCAGGGTGTGGTCCTCCAGGACAGCAAAATCTCGACACACTGCAGAAGGTGAGGGAGCGAGAGCAGGCAGGAAGGGTCATTAACAGTGTTTTAACATAAAAAGAAAAGCATTTGGTTTACTTCAAGAAGTCAATTCTAATATTTTAGGAGGGTCAAGTTTAGAACTGGCATTGCACAAAACTGTGACTAGTTAGTACTAAGTCTTCATCCACAAAAATCTACATCGTGCCTGCTCAGTGCCAAGCACACAGCATCAAGATAATGGTTAGCTCGGGTCCCTGGCCTAAAGGTATTAACCGCAAAATCAGAACCCAGAGGTCAAGAAATTCCAATCCACTTCTATAAAGGGAGGGCAAATGTTGCTGAAATAAAAAGAAAACAAAACTGTTTTGCATATTACAGCTGAGAGGAAACTGAGTTCTCATGTGGTCAGAGGAGTTAAATAAATCCAGCCTATGCCTCAGCCATCTTAGGTTCAGAGGATCCTCTTGTCTATCCTGGTGTCCTTAAGGAAAACCTCCCCTTCATTAGTCCCTCGGGTAGGAGCAGATCTCTACTTTAAGGATAATCACATTCTTTATTAGGTCCACACCCTCAGACATGAGTTAGAACGGGTTAGAGCTCTCTAAATGTAGAGCTGCCTAAAAAGAATAGGCAAACCAAAACCAAACAGACAAACAAAGGCACCTTGGAGGATACCAGGAATCTGCCCCCTAACTCTGCCTCCATCTGGAGATCCAGGCAAGAGCACTAACTGACGTATTTTCTTAAAAGCAAACGAGACGGTCTCCAAGGTCCATTCTCCCCCAAACTGCAATTTAAACTTTTTTGTTTTTTTAAATTTTTATTGGGTAACAGTGTGTTTTTTCCAGGACCCATCAGCTCCAAGTAAAGTAGCTGTCGCTCAATCTAGTTGCGGGAGGTGCAGCTCACCATCCCACACAGGAATCGAACCAGCAACCTTGCTGTTAAGAGCACGCGCTCCAACCGAGCCATCCAGCTGCCCATTGGCAGCTCAGCTCAAGTCATTGTGTTCAATCTAGTTGCGGAGGGTGCAGCTCACTGGCCTATGTGGGACTCAAACTGGCAACCTTGTTGTTCATAGCACGCACTCTAACCAACTGAGCCACCCAGCTGCCCCTTAAAACACACATACATGAAGGAGTCATGAAAAGTGCTCTTTTGTTTGCTTGCTTTAAGGACATGTAGTTTAGGTGCTGTGTTCTTACTCTACTTCAAATGTGTAACTGACATTAAAAAGGGAAATTCCCCAAAGCCTCAGACTATTGCAAATGTGTAGGACTTGTGAAACTGTTCCCTAGGGTTTACCAGAGGTCACACATTTCTTTCTGTGGCTTTTGATTTGCCTATGAGGACATTTAACCAGAACAGAATAAAGAAACACTCCTCTACCGTTCTCAGAACTATGTCTATTCACATATACATACGTTCACATACAGCCTTGTCCTTCACTGAGAAATAAGGCAACAAAAAAGCAGGCAGAACCTGGCAACACCAAGATTACTCTGAAATGGTTTTATGATGGAGGAATCATTTCTGCCCAAGATCCACATAGACTGAATATGACCTGCTTACCCGATTGGCTCAAACGCCAACTGCAAAACCAGTAATTCCAGTAAAAAGTTCTGTTCTTTTGCATCAGATATATTCTCAGCAAATTCTAAGAACCTGAAGCCCAGGTCTGAGTTACCCAATATTTCACAGGGTGAAAGTACTTTCAAGATAAGCTAGTTAACTTTCTCATTTAATGTGTGAGAAAAATAAAGGCAAGAAGGAAGAAAGGACTTCTGGAAGCTATATATATATATATATATATATATATATATATATATATATATATATATATATATATAGTTTGTTGGTAGCAGCACTGGGAGTCAGTTTCTGAGCCAGCAAGAGCGCTTTCCTTTCCTGACACCACCACAGGCCTCCTGGACGCCAGGTACGCCCATAGTCAGAACAGACTGAAAGGGGGATATTCACTGCCTGACACAAATTCTCTAAAACACTTAGCTAATTAATATTCATTAATTAAAAGGCTAAGGCATGTATGGGTTTAGTTCATAGAAAACAAATATTCAGAATGAATTACACAAAATGAACATAATCACACCTTTTGCAAAAGAATGCTATATTAATACAAAGACTTATTATTTGAAGCACTTTTATTATACAACAAAGGCTTATGTTTGTACACTAAAGTTAATATTAGTTTAAAATCAAGATTAATTTTTTTTTTAGATTAATCTTAAGCTTTTTTCAAACCATGGGTGGCAACCTATTATTAGGTCATAAAATAAATTTGCTAAGTTTGGGACAAACATTTAAAAATCAATACACTGAAATATAGAGGCTATCACACATAGTACAGGAAACTATGGTTTGGAGTAACTTTTTCAGTTGTATACACACACACACATGTGTGTATATGATATGTATTAGGTTACAATGTATTATAAAACATATCATTCTGTAGATTACAGTCAAAATAATTTAAAGCCACTTCAATTTACTTTATTAGGGTGGAAAGTTATACCAGAAAAATATATTTTAAGTTTTGAATGTGCTGACTAAAATAAAAAATTACAAAATTATTGCAGTTTTCATTGTGGATAATCATGTAAATTGAAAGAATTATATATATATATATAAAATATATATATATATATATATTTTATTTTAGTTAGTACAACATTAAAAACATAATGTTTATGGATATATACACTGTAGTAAATATATATATTTTTTAATATACGGCACAAACATAAACTAAATTTAGAATAGTGGTTACCTCTAGAGAGAGAGGCAAAGGGGCAGGAGTGCTTCAGCTATATATGCTAGTTTATTGATTTATAAACAAAAAGAGAAAAAAAACTGAAGCAAATAAGGTAAAATATTAACATCTATTAAATTTGGGTGGTAGGTTCCTGAGTTTCTATATTTCCTGGTTTTTTTATAATGCAGTTATATATAGATATAGATATATCTCACATTTTTAATTAATTCTATAATTAAATATAAATTTTTTTAAAGTCCATGTCTCTTATTCTATCAACAGCATATATTGAATGTTAGATGTACAACAGGTGCAAGGAATTTATGTATTACTAATTACCTTAAAAATGACTCTTCTTAATGATTTCTTAATATTTAAACAGCAAGACTGAAGTACATTTAATTAGGGTAGGGCCTGAGCTACAAGAGCATCTAGGACAGCGGTTCTCAACCTTCCTAATGCCGTGACCCCTTAATACAGTTCCTCATGTTGTGGTGACCCCCCATCCATAAAATTATTTTCGTTGCTACTCTATAACTGTAATTTTGCTACTGTTATGAATCGTAATGTAAATATCCTTTTGTTTTCCGATGGTCTTAGGCGACCCCTGTGAAAGGGTCATTCGACCCCCCAAAGGGGTTGCGACCCACCGGTTGAGAACCGCTGATCTAGGACATCTTCAATAACTATACACGGAAGTACACACACTCGTACACAGAGCTGTATTGTCAATACACTGACTTAGCACATCCGAGTTCACTAAGAACTTGCATATGCATAATCTCATTTATACCAATACATTATTTGTTTAATCCACAATTTCTCCTGCATCCACTCTAGGTCTTTTCCAGACCTGTCTCTGTATTCTCTGCATTGCTACCGAAATGCAAGCTGGAAAACAGATGCACATCCGCCACCTTTGTAAATCAGTAACCAGACTGGGAATTACTGAAAACATTCCACAGCCAAGCCAAGTTCAGGGGCTGGATCTCCTTTTCTAATGTACTGTACTTTGGAGTAAACAGTACTGAGGATAAACAGCATAAACTCATATCACTACCTTTCCCTGCAGGCACATTTAAGATGAACCACGGGTCCGGACTCTGGGCTTCCATCTCCCACTTCTCCACCTTCTTCCCCTCCTATGTTCATTTTCACTCATCCCAGATCATCTCAGGCTGACCTTCTCAGCCATTAAGCTAACACATCACTCTTGTTCATTCCCAGGACCTCCATGGTCCTGTAGCCTCTTGTCTCTAACCCAAGTATTTTCCCCAAAGTTAGAGCATGGAGGCTAAGTTGATGTTGAATTCTAATAACCACGTAACTCTGCCTCTTTGCTTAAAAAAGCATCAGAAGGCTTCCTTTGCTTGGCCCCCTCCAAACTCTTTGGAGTGTACTTTCTTTTCTAAGAATGGCCCTTGAGCCAGTCTCTACTTTTCGGGCCCACTTCTGATTCTTTGAAATGTATTTTTTCTTCTAATAAACTCCTTTTTCTGCAACTTTACTTCTCTGGTCTGTGTCTCCATTCTTCGGTTCCACGAGATCATGATCCTGGTACACACACAATCACACTGATCAAAAAACCCTGTTTCACAATGTTCCTCTGCCCCCATTCCCTTATACGGTTCCCTTCCCCAATTCCCCAATAAAATCTTTTTTAAAAAAATGATAGAAAAGCATCAGAAGAAAGAAATCATTTTATCCTCAAAGTAAATACACAGCTGCCTCCTCATCCAGCTGCAAACTCTTTAAGGCAGGGGCCCTGTGGGACTCACCTCCTGCCTTCCACAATCAGCACTGGATGTAGTGTATATTAAGACTTCAGGAGATGTGCATTAATAGAAAAAAATGAAGGAAAACTGGTGATAAGGTCAAAGAACAATAAGAGTTCCACAGACAAAGGATGAAAATGATATTACGAACAGAAGTAAGTTCTGCCCTTACAATAGCATCACAAGAGAAGTGCAACATTTTTCAAACATAATTTAAACAGAAAGAGCTTCCGCGATTTTCTTAAATCCAGATATGTCCGTGTAAGTATACAGTGAATTAGTTTATATTAAGCCAAGCAAGTCTTAGAAATGGAAACTGGGATTTTAGACCTACATACATACATACATACATACATACATACCAGGGGTGCCAAAAAAATGTATGCACATGACTTGTATTCATCTTTTGTTATCAGTATATATTGAATATTACAATTTTAATACAGTTTTTTCCTTTCTTAAAATGT